GTGCTGGGCCAGGCAGCCCTGGGTTTGGGTCCCCTCCCTATTCCCTTCTTGCAGGAGATCTCGGGAAGATGACTCAACCCCTCCGAGCCTCAGTTTCCTGCTCTGTACAGTAAGGGGAGTCACAATTCTCACCTTGGAGGGTCACTGTGATTCTGAACAGAGGTTAAGTCTAAACTCTGCCTGGCAAACAACAGGTGCTCAATAAATGCAGGACTGTACTATTCTACTATGGATCAGAGGTTCTCAACCAGGGGGCCATTCTGCCCCCAGGGGACTCCAGGAGATGTCTGGGGACATCTGTGGTTGTCACACCAAGGGTGCTTCTGGCATGGAGGGGGTGGAAGCCAGGGATGCTGCTCAGCCCCCACGGCACCCAGGACGGCTCCCCGGTGACCCGTCCTGAGTGTCACCAGCGCGGAGAGGGACAGACCCTGCAACAAATCCACCATAATCTCTGCCACAATTTAATTTTCATTTTGCAAGAGGCGGTATTGGGCTCAGAGAGGTCGACTGACTTGTTCAAGGTCACACAGCGAGCTAGGGCTGGGTGACCTGGTGCCAATGCACCTGGGGCTCTGGGAGTCACATCCGCTGTCCAGTGACACGATGTGAGACTTTGAGCCGCTCACTTTGCCTCTCAGAGCTTCGGCTTGCTCATCTAGAAAACAGGAATAAGGATGCCTTCTGGCTTTTGGGATTAGAAAGGAAGGAAAAGTGATAGTGTGTGAAAACCGCTCCACCCAATAGCCACAGGCTGCTGTTAGCCATCGTTGTCCTGGTCCCAGGACCAGAACATCTGGTCCCAAGACCAGAACTTGGGAACCTGGGTTCAAACGCTGCCCGAACCACTGCATGGCTGTGTGACCTCGGGCAAGTGGCATCACCTCTCTGTGCCTCATTTCCGCAAATGGGGACAATAAAAGCACCAATCTTATGGGAAGTTGATATGAGGATTAAACGCGTAGTCCATGTCAAAGGCATGGCAGGGGGCCCAGCATGCGGTAAGTGCTCCATAAATGTCACTGTGGTTATAATTCATAGTTAGAACAGTCGCCCGTGTGTCTGAGTTGTGCCCTCCCTTCTCTGTGCCTCAGTCTCCCATCTGGAAAAGGGGATGATCTCCCAAGACTCTTTCGTCTGGGACATTCTTGGATTTCCCGTAACCTCTGTTGAGTGGGAACCCCTCAAGTGAGCACAGGAGAAGTGGACGCACCTTCTTGTCCTTTTCCTTGGCCATATCCAGGGCCTCCTGGGCGCGGCTCTGGGCCTGGCGTGCCCGCTCGGCCTCGGTGCGGAGCCCCCGCAGCTGCTGCTCTGCCGTGGCCAGCTGGGCCTCGGCCGCATGACGTTCACTCTTCATGAATAACGCCTCCCTCTGGACCTGCAGCCCAAGCCCATGTGTGACCACAAGGACACGTGGATCCCAGATGCCTGGCACCCAGAGTCTTCTGATGCTTCTATTCTGGCCTGAGGACAGTCAAGCCCATTTTGACCTTGAGGACTTTGACTCAGGGGAGTTTGGGGTTCTTCCTGGGCACCATGAACTTTCTGACTCTGCCAGAGACTTCTGACCTGCTGGCTGTGTGGCCTTAGACAACTGACTTAACTTCTTTGTGTCTCAGTTTCCTCATATGTAAAATACGGGTAATAAAAGCCCCCACTTCACAGAGTGATAACGGGGATAAAATGAACCAATACAGGAGATCTGCTTAGAATAGCACCTGGCACACAGGAAGTGCTATATTTGAGTTGTTGTGCTGTCGTCATTACTGATGCTCTTTTCTCGTTCCGTGTCGTGAAGGTTTATAGATTTCTTACAACAGGAAAGAAAACCAGAAGACTTTGGACGAAAAGCAAACCAACATCCAAACGATGACTGCCTTTTCGCAAAAATACCAAGATCGGAGCAATGTCAGCTTCACAAAAACTTGTCGTGGGCTGGAGGCTGGGAGAACTTTGGCCTTTATAGAAATATTGGCTCCAGGGGGACAAGGATAATAGGTAGAGGTTCTACTCAGTACAGACTCGCTACACTTTAACAATTAAAAAAGAAAAATCAGAGGTGTCTGGGTGGCTCAGTCGGTTAAGTGACCGACTTCGGTTCAGGTCATGATCCCACGGTTCGTGAGTTCGAGCCCCGCGTCGGGCTCTGTGCTGACAGCTCAGGGCCTGGGACCTGCTTCAGATTCTGTGTCTCCCTCTCTCTCTGCCCCTCCCCTCCTCACATTCTCTCTCTCTCTCTCTCTCTCTCTCTCTCTCAAAAATAAACATTAAAATTTTTTTTAAATCTTTTTCTTGGAAAAATAATACTTATGGCTGCCACTATGGATCTCTTATACCATCATATATAGATTAAACTATTTCGTTTTCACGTGAGGACTCAAAAGTATTATGATCTCTGTTGTAGGGATAAGTGAGCAGAGGCATGGAGAGGAAAATGCTCTCCTGACGACAACCAGCGAATGTGGGCTTATTCACATGTTTTGTTATAACACCTACCAGTTTTTTTGTTTTTGCTTTTTTTTTTTTAATTTTTTTTTTCAACGTTTATTTTTGGGACAGAGAGAGACAGAGCATGAACGGGGGAGGGGCAGAGAGAGAGGGAGACACAGAATCAGAAGCAGGTTCCAGGCTCCGAGCTGTCAGCCCAGAGCCCGACTTGGGGCTCGAACTCACAGACCGCGAGATCGTGACCTGGCTGAAGTCGGACGCTTAACCGACTGCGCCACCCAGGCGCCCCTGTTTTTGCTTTTTTAAAAGAAGAGATGGAATCAAATGTCCACCACCGGGGACAAAAAATATTCCCTGGCCTTAAGAAAAGCAACAATAACTCAGCACCAAAATCTACTGGGCTCAAAATATTAGATGAAAAAAATCTCTGGGCAGGGGCGCCTGGGTGGCTCAATCAGTTAAGCTTCTGATTCTTGATCTTGGCTCGTCATGATCTCCTGGTTTGTGAGTTTGAACCCCACCTTGGGCTTTGTGCTGACAGCTTGGGATTCCTGCTTTCCCTCTCTCTGCCCCTCTCCCAGTCACTCTCTCTTTGCCTCTCGCAAAATAAATAAATGAAGTGGAAAAAAAGCCTCTGGGTGTAACATCCTCCTACTTTCGGGTTTAAGCATTGAGAACGATCATCAAACGACAAGCTCTAAACAGCCCGCCGGGAACCACAGGATGTTCTGAACCAGCGGGGAAGATGGATGTCAGGTAAAACCGTCAGTGGTTACAAAACAACGAGTGGGCCCCAATCCCTGCCTCACACCATACACACCATTCAAAGATGAAGGGTAAATGTGACTGGAATTAAAGCAATAACGTTTCTGAGAGACACTGTGACCTTGGGTGCACGGAGGTTTCATACACAAACCACAGAGAGCCCTAACCTTTCGAAAAATGATGGGGCTGGCGGCTCAGCCGGTGAAGCTCCCGACTTTGGCTCAGGTCATGATCTCCTAGTTTGTGGGATCGAGTCCTGCATTGAGCTGTTTGCTGTCGGCACAGAGCCTGCTTCAGATCCTCTGTCCCCCTCTCTCTCTGCCCCTCCCCTGCTTGCACTCTGTCTCTCTCTCAAACGTAAGTAAACATTTTTTTTTTTAATTTTAAAAAGAAAAGGAAATCAAAAAAAAA